AATATAAGGTATCAAGAAGTTTTCCTACCGACAAAACTTAACATCAAGAACAAGTAAAGCACGGACCAGTAATAAGGTCGGAGTCAGAAAGATAGTGCCTTCACCCTTCACAGGGGAAGGTGCTCCATTTCCACTAGTAATATACGGATCACGAACATAGTCACATAACTCATCAAACACTTTAGGGTCACTAGTCACATGATTAGTGGCCCCAGTATCAATTATCCATTTATTTGTTCCACCAAGATGCATAACAACACTATGATTATATTGAGCCATTAAACTAAATCACGAACAATAAAGGCACAAAAGATACACAGCGGAATGAAAACAATTTACCAGAACACTGTAGCAATTAGTGTTCATGGCACTGTAGCAATCACTGTTTACGACGCTATAGAGGATCATTGTTCACAAGGTTCACACACTGTAGCAAAGCATTGTACTGTAGCGCGAGACTATTCACTTTTTTTTTTCAACGAAGGAAATCACGAAAAAGGTGGGCACAAAATCAAAGCACACAGGTCACCCAGAGCGAACTGCTCTGATGCCATATTAAACTAAACATGGTAAATACCAAAAATATACATGATAATATGTGGGAATTTCTTTTATATTTATTAATCTCCAAAGCGGAGTACATATAGGAGTTACAATTGGTATTACATATGTACTTCACCAATGTGGGACAATAAACTACTATTTACACTTTAACTAATATATAACTCGCAACATCGCCTCTACTCCATTTCTGATCAACTCAAAATCTTCGCCATTTCTCCCTTGCCTCGAGGACAGCCAAAGTGAAATGCCTATCCATACCTCCATTGCTCTCGGGTCCCTTCATGGAGCTCACCTCACTAGATCTCGGCTACAAAACCCCAAATCCCAAAGGTAAAAATTTTGCCTTGCTGCCATTTCGTTCCACTGGGTTAATTGTCATGGAAAAATCAAATAATTAACACATGCATGCATTGTTTGGTTGCGAGATCCACGGGTCCACAACAAGAGAAACACACCAACGCCCACAATGTACAGATCCAAGGCCAATCGACCAAGAGTCCTCCATTTGTCAGGTAAAAATGCTTCACCCCCAAACTGTGGTTCTGATGGTAATTTCTAAGTGCCTTTGATTGTGATTTTCACACCCATTTGTGTTCTGATTTCAGCATAAGAACTGACTATAAGGATCTGGAGATGGCAGAACATAAGAAAGACATAAAAGACATGGATAGAAAATTAAAGGTAAAGAATCATGCTTGCAATTTAGTGTGCTAGTTGTGCATGTGTAAGATCTGTGAGTTGCATGAAAAATAACAATCGGATTTAAAATGTGTGTAGAATGCGCATGGGACGGGTTTCCGAACGATAGAACACAAAGGAATCAGTCGCAACCCGCACGGATCTGAGCATGAGAAAGGTATAAACCCATGTATTAAAATGTTGGATCCCGAACGGCAATGATATGGTGCAATGTCAGTTTAAATCTCAACTTATGGCTCTCTGTGTGTAGGAAGCTGATGAACCAATATTTATACTATATATTTTCTCCTTTTTATATTTCTTTTCTTGTCTAGTTTAGTTGGAAGTTTTGAGTATTTATGAGTTTTTCCATTTTGTGTTTCTAGGAGCAGCAAGATTGAGTTTGGTGGAAAAGTATGCAAACGTTGGAATTTTTTAGTGATTCCAGTTGGAGCTGATTCACAAGAGATCAAAGATGATCATATCAATTTTTCAGCTCAAAATTCCCAGCCAATTGTTCCCAGCTTAAGAATGAAGACAGGTCAGCGTGCTGACAAGGCAGTTTGGACCTCTGAAGGTTGCACAAGAGATAAGTACATAATTAAAGCCTAAATTGAGGAAACTTCCTTCTTAGCTTTTGAAGCTGACCTTTCAAGCTTTCTAAAGACATCTCATTCATTGAAATCTAAGGACTGTTGGTATACTAAACATTATGGCCAAATCTGCCCACTCCATTTGGCTAATAAAAATAAGAAAGTAAAGGCACTTGTTTTGTGCTTTACTTTGTCATCATCACTCGGCAGACAATGGGGTTTTCAATCCCACTCATTTGGCCTTTGTAGCATTAGAAAAACAGAAGCTTTTGGAGGAGGAAAGTGGAACACATGGCTGTTTATTCCTTTGTCTAATAAAATAAGGTAAAGAAGGGGGACAACAATGATGGCCTTCCACTTGTGGCCTTAGTGCTTTGAAAAATCATTGCCTTTTGTTTAAGGCAACACACGGCAGAGAGTAAAAGGAGGGGAGGGCAGAGAAGAAGAAGGGAACGGATAGAGTTGCAGCAAGCAACATAGCAGAAAGCAGAAGGGATGCCGCAGCTCCAAGAGGATCGGAAAGCTCAGGGGATAGCTTCCTTGTAAAAAAAAGGGTTGTCTCTTTCTTTGATTCTTCATAATTTCTTATGTATTCAAATAATTATGTATAACTAATTTCCTTTTGCTAGAGTGAGGCCATGAGCCGCAACATGATTACGTAGATTTCTCTTTCAATTGCTTAAGTGTTGTTACATGCTTGCTTTGATATTTTCAATCTCTAAATTAAACTATCTATGTGTCTTGATGATTGATCACCATTAGGATGCTTAGAAAAGTCGTTGGATGCAATTTTGAACGAATGTCACGTTAAAATTGGTTATGCTTCTTGTGATTGAGGATTGTAATTTCTCCCATGGTATGCTGACATCGCAAATTATTTGGCATCTGGAGAAATACCATCAGAGTTTAGTTACCAACAAAGGAAGAAGTTCCTCTCCACTGTAAAACACTACTTTTGGGATGAGCCATACCTTTTCAAGCATTGCCAAGATCAAATCATTCGTCGGTGTGTCCCCTTAGAAGAACAACAAAGCATTTTGAAGTTTGCTCACCACTATGCATGTGGTGGTCATTTTGAACCAAGAAGGACAGCGGCCAAGATCTTACAGAGTGGTTTCTTTTGGCCATCTTTATTCAAAGATGCATACATATGCTGCCAGGCTTGTGATAAGTGTCAAAGAGTTAGAAATCTTTCTCAGAGAAATGAGATGACCCAACAAAGTATTTTAGTGATTGAACTATTTGATGTTTGGGGTATAGACTTCATGGGACCTTTCCCTTCTTCACATGGCAATCTTTACATCTTGGTGGCGGTTGATTATGTCTCTAAGTGGGTGGAGGCAATAGCTTCTCCAACATGCAAAAGTTCTGTGGCGTTAGGTTTCTTGCAGAATACTATTTTTCCCCGATTTGGAGTACCTCGTGCTATCATCAGTGACGAAGGTACGCATTTCTTAAACCGCACCATGGTTGCCCTTTGTGCCAAGTATCATATTCACCATCGCATAGCCACCCCATACCATCCACAAACATATGGACAAGTTGAAGTATCTAATCGTGAGCTCAGGAGGATTCTTGAGAAAACTGTCAGTTCATCTCGAAAGGATTGGAGTTTAAAGCTTACTGATGCTTTATGGGCATATAGGACAACTTATAAGACACCAATTGGGATGTCTCCTTTTCGTTTGGTGTATGGGAAAGCTTGCCATCTACCTATGGAACTTGAGCACAAGGCATATTAGGCTATTAAGCACCTCAATTTTGACTACCAAGCAGCGGGAGAGAAGCGGAAGCTGCAGTTGAATGAAATGGAAGAAATAAGGAATGATGCTTATGAGAATGCAATGATTTACAAGGATAAGACCAAGAAATTTCATGATGCTCACATCCTTCGTAAAGAGTTTCAACTGGGTCAGAAGGTTTTGCTTTTTAATTCGAGACTGAAACTATTCCCAGGAAAGCTCAAATCACGTTGGAATGGTCCATATCGTGCTGTACAGGTCTATCTTCATGGGGCTGTGGATATCCAAAACGTGCAAACTGGTTTTGTTTTCAAAGTTAATGGGCATCGCTTGAAGTTATACAAGGAGTCTTCATATGATCTTGCTAAGGATTCCATCACTTTGAAGGAACCTATTATTTGAATCAAACTACCAAAAGAATGTCTAGCTCTAGACAGTAACTAAAGTGCTTCTTGGGAGGCAACCCAAACTTTCTATCTTTCATCTTTATTTTGAATAATTTTAAATGTTCTTGTTCTGTTTTTTCCCTTGATTTTTGGTTTTGTGTGTTCAAGCCCTGCTATTGATCTCCTTATGCAAGTAATGCTTTTGCAGTCTTTACCACAACTTCTTGCAAAGTTTCTTAATCCCACGGGTTACTCACACATTTGTTATGCATAATTGGCCTTATCCACGGAGTCCAATCCCAAAAGCTGAGCAGCCAACTTAAAGTTTCTGTTCGTTGCCACTAATGCATTCATCTTTGCTCCTTCTTCAAGTCTCTGACTCAGAAGCTAAAAGCAGCTACTTCAATTCGCTTCTCTAGCTAGCTATTATTACGAACCTAGATATAAGATGGAGAAACATACATCAGTTTGCACTCTATAACAATTTTTCAAGGTAAATGACCATTAAGGATAACATTTCAGGAACTTCAACCCTAGCATGCATATGCATATTATATATTTTATTTATCAGTCCAAAAATATATTTTATTATATATCTTATTTACGGTACTTAATCAACCTGAAGATTCTCACTCATAATACTTGATTATGATTAGCTGCATTAGTTATATACACAATTTAGATTCTAATTAAGCAGCAGCGCTAAACAGTTCAACTTTAGTAAGTGCTCTAAAATTAATAGATTAACAAAAAAGAATATGGATGATTTATTGTGTTCATTTTCATGCCATCTTAAGTGACCAGAAACTGAAAATTTCTTGTTGAATGTGTTAATGCTGCAGCAATATATAGGATGAAGGAGAAAATTCCAATGAAGATTGGTTGAGGAAATTGACAGTGTCACTACTCGCCCTTGGAAAGATGTCTTTTCTGGAAACCCTTTCAAAGTGTTTAGGATCCAAAAACTTGTAATCAATTAGAGTGTGCCGATTAGGGTGATTTGCTATCTAAGACTCACTTGGGAGTTGGGAGCAAAGTTATAAGTTGCAAGCTCTTGTAACGCAGTAATGAATTTGGATAATATTGGACATGGAATAAAATATCACATGCACAGCAAGCTACAGTGACCATAAAAAAATTAAAAAATAGAAAAAAGATCTTAAGCAAAAACCATGAATCCAACTCAAAAATGAAATCTTCCAAATAAAATCTCAAACCATAACCCAAATCAAATGCACCAAATCTCACATCAAAAAAAAATTATACAAATTGACATATTGGTAGAAACCCAACAGAGACATATTGGTAGAAACCCAACAGAGATTTTAGAGAGAGAGAGAGAGAGAGAGAGTGCCAGAGGGAGTGAAATATGATTGTACCTGGAAAGCAAAAAGTAAATTATATAAATCAATAGAAATCTGATCTAGGTCCAAGTCTCAGACTCTCAACCTCATAACCCTTTAGTGATCAGTATAAGTTCACCTGTATAACACACCGTTGTCCGGAGATGCTCTTTCCATACTCATTGAGTAAAGCCTCTGTCGCAAAAAGTACTCCTCTTCCGGTTGCTGCATCTCTTCCTAGTGATCCACCAAGATCCTGATTTGCAAGAAAAAAAAAACAAACAAAATGCAAACAAAATTTAACTGAATGAAAGAGGACAATTCACTTTTGACAAAAAAAAAAAAAGAAAAAAAAAAGAAAAGAGGACAATTTACTGAAGCAACTTTCCATGATTTACTTACAATCATGACACAGAACATAAACATTTCACACTAACTGTCATTTTTAAAGTAGAATGTTCAATTATATCATGATGTTAAGTACCAGTCCCAAATTTGATGGCATTCCAAATATCTGGTTCCTTGTCCTTTAACAAATCAATGCACTTGGCATTGGCATAGCAACGACCTTTAATGTTTGACACACCATTGTTGCTCCAGCAGTGCTCATCATCTCCAATCAGATACTGATTATGATCCGTAGACAGAGTAGTCTTCCCAGTGCCTGCAACAAACATCCCAGGATCAGTTACACAAACACGAAAGAAACTGAAACACAAAAGATTGATGTATCCATCGCCAATTGATCATTGCACACATAAAATTATCATGATTCATACCTCTGCGTCGATATGGAATTTTATAAACTGGACAAATGGAACCCGATTTCATCGATTTCACGGTGCAAGTGCTGTAAAAAATAAGCAAACACTGGCAATATGATCAAGCACATTCCAAGTATTAATACATCCAAATTAAAACTAACTTCGTATGCGAATAACTATGAAGGTAGAGATTACTTGCAGAAGAGATTGTTGCAATTGAGTGAATCCGCAGAACTGTGTAGACTCAAACTGCAAAACAGATGGGGAAAAATCAAACCCATTAACAGGGTGAAGAGAAATTTTAAATCTTTAAACGAATTCTAGACAAAATCATGCAAATGGTCTGTTTTGGCTACCAAGAAACTTAGTATACATTTGAATATTATTACATTTTAATACAAAAATTTAGCTTTATTCAGATGGGAGAGATCAAAGGTTGCATCATTCAGCTTCACACATGGCCACAACACAATTTCAAAAACTCTGTCATATCAAAGTCACATTCTTTATCAAACTCCCACTCCGGAATCAAACAAAGGTTGATGACGGACAAAAAGAAATACAAAGTACGAAATATAATCAATATCATCAGTCAAAACTTGCTACAAAGGGTGAGGGGTCAACCAAGTGACTTTTTGCCCCTTAACCTCGGCCTGCATGAACAAACAACAGAAGAATCCATACCCAAATAACACAATAACATAAAATGCACAGTTGAAGATTTGATAAGCAGTGTACAGTACATAACCAAACCTAATAATATATGGCTTTAACAGATACAAAGACTTTACGCAATTTATGAGTCCAAGATATGTAAGCTTGCCATTCATGACTCAACCTGGTACGAAAGCAACACCAGTATTAAGGGAAGATTCCACAAAACGATTAACTCCTCATCATTTCACACTTCAGAACTCCTTTTATTTAGAAAAATTCAAATATCTACCTTCGACAGTTATGAATGCATTTGACATCAATTCTGTCCTCAATAGCAGGTAATGCCACAAAGAGGTGAACCATTGTGAGGCAGTCATCAATATCTCTGAGTGTGTCAACGAATTTTGGATATCTGCAGTTCCAAACATACCAAACAACAATTGTCAGAGGTTCTACAAATAAGCAAACTTCAAAAGATACAATAGCAAAAAACCAAACACATACAACCACAATCTAAGAATATTTTAATGACAGAAAAGAAAACTGACCTTTTGCGTGGAGGCAATGAGAAAATATAGAGAAGCAAACCACCTATTTGAAAAGGTAAAAACAAAGGACTAAAATCAAACAATGATATATCAGTCAAAACTGACCTTTTGCGTGGAGGCAATGAGAAAATATAGAGAAGCAAACCACCTATTTGACAAGGTAAAAACAAAGGACTAAAATCAAACAATGATATATCAGTCTCCAAAATAAGTGTACAATATCTTTCAAATTTGATGACAAATTTATATGCAATAAGTCACATTATCCTTCCTTCAACTAATGTACATCCTATATTAGACCACACAACACATGCACTCTAATCACTTCATTGGTGCTCTACCTCATTTCCAAATGTAGTTTCATCTCCACTGAGTTTCTACATGCATGGGAACATATGTTTTTCTTACTAATTTGATTAGATTATAAACTGTTTCAACTAATTCTTGGAATATCATATCTGTAATATCAAACTATAACAGTTGGATTTTACTGGTAAGTAAAACAGTTGTATAATGAACAAACAATTTCAGATTTTGAGAACAGATTTATTCCATTACCTTCTACCCTCCATCTCCCTTTGAGCAACAGAGTAGTCATTAAATTTCATCTTATGGCGTGTGTGCTGTGAGGTTGGTGAAGCCATGTGATCCTAATTTATTTTCTTTTTAATTATACAAATGGTACAGTTTCAACTGTACATGTTTAACCTCGGTGTTTTTCAATTTCAGTTTTACTTCTACCATCCATTAATTTTCCTTTCCAAAATGATTTGAAAAATAAATCTATAGCTACTAACGGTCTATATGATTTGAAAAATAAATCTATAGCTACTAATGATTTGAAAAATAAATCTAAAAATTTATGTAAATGCAGAGGTTTGGCTGAAGGAGAGGGCATCGAAGAAATCCAGAAATCCTTCCATGGCAAACTTAGTTGTTCACACATGGCATGTGTGCTGTATGCTAGATGTCCTCTCTCTTTTAACAACACACAATAGCTTATGCAAATGCACAGAGGACTTCAACATGTTGCATTTAAAATAAATTTACATTTTGTAGCAAATGCATATGGCGAAATAGTTCATAAGTAATCATACTGGCAACCAAATACAACAGTTCAAAAACTTCAATGGAAATATAAATTGCCGAAAAAAAAATCTTGAATTTCCAAACCCACAAAATAAAAAATTCAACCAGATTACGTGTAAGAAGAAATACCAAGAACTGAGAGATGCAGGCTACCAAAATGCTCATGATCTTGTTTGTGCTAATGAACTATAAAACTTGAAATCAAAATTACAAAGGTAGAAGTTGAGATTCCAATATGAGACAGAACAATCGAAATGAAGATAAGGTGCCTAATATGAAATCAGGGCTCGAAAATAAAATTAAAATTTTTGGGGCAGATAAAAAACTAATCATTGATTAATTAAGACAAATGACTGAAATTGTCAACTTTTAAAATTACGTATCCTTAGTAAAAAAAAAAAGCACACACACCTCAGCCAAACTGGAAACCCCCTAAAGAAAATAGAAACATTCAAAAAGAAATTCATTGACGAAACAAAAAACTGCCAAGGAAAATGATCATTCCCAAAATTCCATTATGAACAAATATATGGACCAATATTAAGATGAATATAGAGCCCTGCCTTGTAAACCATCTTTGAGCCAACCAATTACACAAATCTAAATAAGAGATGGCAGAAAAGGAATATGAAAAAAATATGTGCATATGAGTTATGCATCTTGCTTGAATGCTATCTATCAATGGTAATTCCCAAATCCAAACAACCACCAAATCAAAACCCCAAAGCCAAACAGGGCAACTACATACGTATTAAATTCACATACAATTAGAAAGATCAAACTCAAACAAACACTGAAGCACTCAAGCAATTTAGATAATGCTTGACAGATGAAATTCAAACACTAAAATCACTCTGCAACTGATTCACATGAGCTATAGCATGTTAAGAATGAGCTATAGCATGCCAAATACCCTTGTCATTACCCACTCCCACTCTCTTTGGGAGGGTTATATAACAGAGAAAAACACATTATCAGTCATCTTTTACAGGCAAGAAGACAGAAAATAATTTATAATTCTATATTAATCAAACTTATGATTTTTGCATATACATTGGTGCATCCATTCTTTGCATATGCATTACTACTGATTACTCAATTTTACGGGCAGGAAGACAGAATTAAAACTAAGAAATGTAAGGAAAAAGAAAATACAGAGAGAGAGAGAGAGAGAGAGAAAGAGAGGGAAGAACCTGCAAGTAGGTTTGCTCAAAAGCATAATTAGTACCACCATCCGATTTTCGACGGCGGTTGCGGATTTGCGAATGCAAAAATTTGAATTTCCATAAACCCACCACAGTAAAAACCCCAAAATCCCGAGATTTATACCCAAAAAAAACATAATTTGAAAACCAAAGACCAAGGTTAACCGATATAGAAGAATAATTCAACAGAACATGAGCAAATAGTTTATACCAAATCCAAATTCCTAAAATCCACAAAACACAAACCATAAAATAGATATCAAACATCACAGAAATTAGAGAATCATGTAAACAAAACCGAGGCCTAATTCTCTTTGTCACTGAGAAGAAAATCTAAATAAGGATGTTCCCTTGATTAAGCTCTAAACAAAAAAAAGGTGTATGATTATATACCTCAAAATGCCAAAGTACCAAGTTCGCACTCCAACGATCCAAAATTCTGAAACATAGTAAATCCATTAGCAATTCTCAAACATGCTAAATTCAGACAGAAGCAGAGCTCGAGCATTTTAAATTCCGCTCCGCTCCTGGAATTTTTGAGATTTGAGCAGAAAATTTGGGAAGGAGAAGAATTTGATCGGAGAGAGTGAAAATTCAATCTACTTCAGGATCAAACACCAAAGTACGAAACTTTACCTTTTCTTCATCATCACTTTCTCATTCTTCACAACAGAATCAGGTGACAATTAGTAACGTAGAATTGAAAATAGTTGATTAAAAGCATCAAACTTTCAAAAAGGGGAAGCTCCTAAGAATCTAAAAATTCAACAGGAAAGCACTCCTAATTCAATTTAACATAACACAATCATAAATCCAATCCAAAGCAATGAAATTTCAACAAATACCGTGTATCGAATTCTGATTAGGGTTTCGGATGACTCGTTGGTTGGAAACACGACTTTCTCAGGCTTATCAGCTGCCTCCATCTGGGCATCCTTCAATTTGTCGTCTTGGGTCGAGACCTGAGCCTCCGTGGCCATCGCCGAGGAGGTGGAGACTCCATTTTCACCGCCGCAGAGGGACAGAGCCCTGAACTCGGAGCTCAGTGGCGAAGCACAGTGTTTAACTGGGGAAAGCAAAGAAGCGGTCTTTAGGAGAGGGAGGAAAATTCGATATGGGTTCGTGTGGAGGTGCATCAGTGATTGTTCGACGAATATAACTGAGATGATGAAGAGGAATGGGGTGAGCAGGGCTGGGGCTAGGTTGAGAGAAATGAGAGAGAAATGGTGCTAGGGTTGTAGGAAATGAGCTTACAGAGTGAGAAAAGGGAAGGATGGGGATTTGATGGATGGTTATCGAGAGAGTCGGGAGAGAGAAAGAGGGAAAGAAATGGCGGTGGAAATTTTTTAAATAAAGTGAAATTGCTCAATCCAACGGACACAATTACCCCTTAACTTTTAAGAATTACCTTTCAACCCAGCCCAGATCTGATGGTTTTTTTTTGTAAATAGCGTGAAATCGAGTGGCATTTTCTTGACTGTAGCCATGAACAGGCCAATTGCCCACCAACTTTAGAATAGATAATGGTTTGCCGGTGCATAAACTAGAAATGGAAGGCAGAGAGAGAACGGAGAAGCAGAAGAGGGGAAAATGTCATGAGTTGTTTTGTTTGATGAGGGTAATGTTGTCAATTACATGTGGAAGGTTGACCGACTTTGGTTCTTGAGCAGCCATGGCAACCATGGAAAGGAGTTGCAGGGAGGTCTCGTACTGGGGATTAAAAACCCCAGAAGCATGGACACTAATTACTGCCCCAAAAATAACAATGAGCTCAAAAGTTCAATTGAGAAGTGGATTTAAAAAGAAGAGCACGAATTCTAAGGCAAAAGAACATACAGATTAAAAAGAAGAGCACGAATTCTAAGGCAAAGAGGGATAAACCGAGAGCACGGTTTCAGAAAAATACAGAAAAATGCGAAACGCGGGAGTTTACCTGGAAACGGTCTGAACAGAATATAGAATTGTCCGACTCGTGAGCATGGCGGCGCTTCTTACAAATAGACAGCAGAGAGAGGAGAAGTTCACGGTTGAGGAATGAATGGAGGCAGTATTGCCTTTCGATGGTTCTACATGTACGTTTTTACAATAATGCCCTCGCCAATCTCTTAAGCTGGATTGTTTGACGAGGCTACTTTTGTCCATTGTCTGTTCCTCTTAGTTGAGCGCGGACTAGCAATTGACGCGAGAGGGTTTGTGTTGGTGGTTTAAAAACTTTGAAGGGCAATAACTTTGCTCTCGGGTGTCCGTTTTGGGTGATTTTTTTTTTGAATCCGCATAACTTTTTAAGACGAATCAGGCTATGGGGTTCCATAGGAGCCCCAACCCATTAGATATTAAAAAAAAACGTATTTTTGTGCTTCAAAATCGACTTTTAAATCTATTGCGCACACCAATCGACAATTTTTTGAACGCTTACAGCACATTTATTTCTCCATACGACATCAGATTTGCGCACTGTCAGTTGCGTTGGACTCCTTTCGACCTCCCGGAGGCCCCGGTACTCTTAGATTTTTCCAATTCTTAGCAGATTGGCACAATTTTATCAAAATACCGAAATTACCCTTTCGGGTCAACCGAGCGGCATATTTTTAGAAATATATAAAAGACAGAGGATCTGAGAGGTCGATACAAATCGAACACAATAAACAGAACATCCATCGAAGGTCGTTTGAAGTTGTCATGAATTACCAATGTATGGCATTCTTGGTCTGCGTCATGAATTTTTAGATGTGAAGGATTACATGTAATTCCTAAATATGGGCGAATCCACTCTTGGACGCAAGTGGTCCCGGGAACACACAGACGTTTGAAAAAGCAACTATGAGAACCTTTGAGGACCACCCAATGGTCTGGACATATGGTGAAAAAGCACTTAACCACCCAATGGTATGGACATATGGTGAAAAAGCACATGTGAGAACCTTTGGAGAACCGACCTAAACGAAGAAAAAAGACTTTTCTCTCCATTTCCAATTAGCAAAGGAATGGTGTTTTTAACAAACAATATTTATCTACACAAAGGGATGGTCTCTTACTCAACCCACATTTATTTTTATTTTTTTGTAAATACCATATAAATTCATAAAACCTCTGAAAGTATTTCGTAAAGTACTATGAACTCGTAGTTGCTTGCATTTTCATCTCATTCCATACCATCAAATTCACTAAATACAAAGTAAATTTAATATTTTTTGATTTAACTCGTAAAATTTCTCCATCGAATGGTGTTTTTTCGTCATAAACAAGAAAACCTCATGCCCTGTCCATCAGAACTCCGAAGTTAAGCGAGTTTGGGCGAGAGTAGTACTAGGATGGGTGACCTCCTGGGAAGTCCTCGTGTTGCATCCCCCCCACCTCTTTTTTTAATTTTCATAGTTCTTGGTTGCGTATTGTTAGCGGCTTATTTATTAATTATATTTTTTGAATATTCGAGGGACGGTCTTGATGAACATTTATGAATTTCGTGCGATCGTGTGGGGGCGGTGTGATGTTCGCACGCGTAAAGGTTACGGCCAAAGAAATGGTCATATACAATTACAAGTCATAGAATAACGGATGCGATCATACCAACTCACATGCACCGGATCCCATCAGAACTCCGAAGTTAAGCGAGTTTGGGCGAGAGTAGTACTAGGATGGGTGACCTCCTGGGAAGTCCTCGTGTTGCATCCCCCCCACCTCTTTTTTAATTTTCATAGTTCTTGGTTGCGTATTGTTAGCGGCTTATTTATTAATTATATTTTTTGAATATTCGAGGGACGGTCTTGATGAACATTTATGAATTTCGTGCGATCGTGTGGGGGCGGTGTGATGTTCGCACGCGTAAAGGTTACGGCCAAAGAAATGGTCATATACAATTACAAGTCATAGAATAACGGATGCGATCATACCAACTCACATGCACCGGATCCCATCAGAACTCCGAAGTTAAGCGAGTTTGGGCGAGAGTAGTACTAGGATGGGTGACCTCCTGGGAAGTCCTCGTGTTGCATCCCCCCCACCTCTTTTTTAATTTTCATAGTTCTTGGTTGCGTATTGTTAGCGGCTTATTTATTAATTATATTTTTTGAATATTCGAGGGACGGTCTTGATGAACATTTATGAATTTCGTGCGATCGTGTGGGGGCGGTGTGATGTTCGCACGCGTAAAGGTTACGGCCAAAGAAATGGTCATATACAATTACAAGTCATAGAATAACGGATGCGATCATACCAACTCACATGCACCGGATCCCATCAGAACTCCGAAGTTAAGCGAGTTTGGGCGAGAGTAGTACTAGGATGGGTGACCTCCTGGGAAGTCCTCGTGTTGCATCCCCCCCACTCTTTTTTTTAATTTTCATAGTTCTTGGTTGCGTATTGTTAGCGGCTTATTTATTAATTATATTTTTTGAATATTCGAGGGACGGTCTTGATGAACATTTATGAATTTCGTGCGATCGTGTGGGGGCGGTGTGATGTTCGCACGCGTAAAGGTTACGGCCAAAGAAATGGTCATATACAATTACAAGTCATAGAATAACGGATGCGATCATACCAACTCACATGCACCGGATCCCATCAGAACTCCGAAGTTAAGCGAGTTTGGGCGAGAGTAGTACTAGGATGGGTGACCTCCTGGGAAGTCCTCGTGTTGCATCCCCCCCACCTCTTTTTTAATTTTCATAGTTCTTGGTTGCGTATTGTTAGCGGCTTATTTATTAATTATATTTTTTGAATATTCGAGGGACGGTCTTGATGAACATTTATGAATTTCGTGCGATCGTGTGGGGGCGGTGTGATGTTCGCACGCGTAAAGGTTACGGCCAAAGAAATGGTCATATACAATTACAAGTCATAGAATAACGGATGCGATCATACCAACTCACATGCACCGGATCCCATCAGAACTCCGAAGTTAAGCGAGTTTGGGCGAGAGTAGTACTAGGATGGGTGACCTCCTGGGAAGTCCTCGTGTTGCATCCCCCCCACCTCTTTTTTAATTTTCATAGTTCTTGGTTGCGTATTGTTAGCGGCTTATTTATTAATTATATTTTTTGAATATTCGAGGGACGGTCTTGATGAACATTTATGAATTTCGTGCGATCGTGTGGGGGCGGTGTGATGTTCGCACGCGTAAAGGTTACGGCCAAAGAAATGGTCATATACAATTACAAGTCATAGAATAACGGATGCGATCATACCAACTCACATGCACCGGATCCCATCAGAACTCCGAAGTTAAGCGAGTTTGGGCGAGAGTAGTACTAGGATGGGTGACCTCCTGGGAAGTCCTCGTGTTGCATCCCCCCCACCTCTTTTTTAATTTTCATAGTTCTTGGTTGCGTATTGTTAGCGGCTTATTTATTAATTATATTTTTTGAATATTCGAGGGACGGTCTTGATGAACATTTATGAATTTCGTGCGATCGTGTGGGGGCGGTGTGATGTTCGCACGCGTAAAGGTTACGGCCAAAGAAATGGTCATATACAATTACAAGTCATAGAATAACGGATGCGATCATACCAACTCACATGCACCGGATCCCATCAGAACTCCGAAGTTAAGCGAGTTTGGGCGAGAGTAGTACTAGGATGGGTGACCTCCTGGGAAGTCCTCGTGTTGCATCCCCCCCACCTCTTTTTTAATTTTCATAGTTCTTGGTTGCGTATTGTTAGCGGCTTATTTTATTAATTATATTTTTTTGAATATTCGAGGGACGGTCTTGATGAACATTTATGAATTTCGTGCGATCGTGTGGGGGCGGTGTGATGTTCGCACGCGTAAAGGTTACGGCCAAAGAAATGGTCATATACAATTACAAGTCATAGAATAACGGATGCGATCATACCAACTCACATGCACCGGATCCCATCAGAACTCCGAAGTTAAGCGAGTTTGGGCGAGAGTAGTACTAGGATGGGTGACCTCCTGGGAAGTCCTCGTGTTGCATCCCCCCCACCTCTTTTTTAATTTTCATAGTTCTTG